GTCACATGTAGGAATAAACATGTATTAGGACCAGAAAAAAAAAAATCAGACCAAGAGACTCAGCTGGACAAAACACATGCTTCCACATTTCAGAGACTGGAAATATGGATCCTAGCTTTCCAAGTGAACCAATGAAGAAGGACGAGCGGTTGGCCAGCCGCACTATTGCTAAATGGAGCAAAATGAGATCAAGTCAGGGAATATGGAACCTCACGGAGAACACTTAAGGAGTCAATAATAATTTCTTTAAATGAACCAAAATGCCATACAATGCCATCCTGCAGAGGAAAATATGCTATGATGAAGGCGACCCCATGTCATTTGGTCCATCTTAAATATACTCACAAAGACTCGGGATAGAGGATTTTCTCCCCTACATACGGAAGGATATTTTAGCGATGCCAGTAACAGTCTTGGGAAAAAATACATTAAAGATGAAAATAAAAACTTGTCATTTAAAACTTGCAAGATTACAAGGCAAATTCCATTCAGTAGCCCCAAGAACTATAACATTTAAAAGTCAGACATTTAATATTATATCTCATAGTCAATACGGTTTTGTTAATATTTCATAGTATTGAAAGTAGCAAGTTTTCATTATATGTTTTCAGGAAACTTAAAATCACTACCAGTCTCTTATTCTTCGCATCATTTCTGGCATTTGCAATTATAACACATATTTTACAGTAGCTTATCCCCACGTTTGGGAGGAGAAAATATTCTTTTTATTGTGCTTTAGAAGTAAGTGCAGGTAAATTTTAATTAAAGTAAATTTTTTTTAAAAAATAGTATATGAATTAATAGACGATGACCCATCCAATAGAGCCATGACATTTTTCTCTGCTGTTATTTTAAGAGAAATGAATCTCTGAAAAGATTATTTGCATGAATCACAATCAATCACTATTATTTTAAAAACACTCCTACTTAAATATTGGCAGCTATAACTGTGAAGTCTCTTCAGACGTCTGCAATGTCTTTATTATCGAAGAAACTTTTTTATTCTTTTGGAGCCCTTGTGCTGCCAATCAGAAAACAAATCTTTCTTTTAAAGCACATTACTATTTGCTAAATGACATTAGCCTACGATGTTTTATATCCTACCTCCAGAAAATCCATCCCAATTTAGTAACAGCTATAACCAGTTCTTGCAAGTAAAAAATTTTTCCCTTCTGTTTTACAGAAGCAAAACCCACAGAACAGTTCATTTTAACATAGGACATGTTATATTTATAAATCCTTCATATAAAATAAAGCAAATCTCGGAAGCAATACAATTACTTTTTCTCTCAGTAGAACAACTTTGTTTCAGAGTCTAGTGCTGAGTTGATTTATGTAAATGTGTTACTTAACCTCAACTTAAGATATAAATCCAGAGCAAACATAAGCATGGCAATCTTGATACTCGACTCCGCCAAATCAGAAGATTTAGCCAACCTAGACCAAGAATGAATTAAGGTTATATTGAGAGTGTCAGTCCTGATCAAGAAAACAAGCACAGGCAGAGCAGACCAGGGAGATCACTCATTAACCAGCCAACAATGCTACAGCCCTTTTGTACGTCTGGGAAAACATGTTCCCAGTTTTCAACTCCACAGCAAATCAAGGCACTCTTGTTAAATGGGTGAATTTTCTGGTTTTTTTCCACCTCGTCAGTCCTGAAAAGAAACTCGGGTTCTCTGTTTATGATCTGCATAACTCCCCACATGTGAAACGGGATAGGCCTTGAGTCTTTTAAGGTAAACGGACCAGTGCTCAAGGTAGAGTGATCGACCTGGCTCTGAGGGGTTAATGCCTGCCTTCTGAAAATAACTTTCGAGTTGTTTTTTAACAACTGGTTCCCACAATTATTAAATTCCTTTACCATGATAGGTAACAGTTATGTATCCCAAAGTACAACCGTGGACGATCCAGCAGCGGACTTCTGTCTGTGTCTCCTCACACACTCACACACACACACACACACACACACAAGTTAGAGCCACACTTAGTCAGACATGCTGTACAGAAGTCCATCTGTCCAAGCCTGAAGAGTCAATACATTATTGTGTGGAAAACATCTTTAGCAAGTATCAGTATTATTGTCGGCCTAACTTTGAAAATTCTAGAGGCATGCCAGAAAGAGAGCTACATAAAATCCAGCAGTTCCCAGATCATACACAGTACAGAGATTCTCGTATCCACTTAATCTCAGCACGAATCTCCACCCCTACTTCCTTCCCAATGGTATGTGGTCTTGAAAACACAAATGTTCACGTTTCCTGAAGCTGAGCTGCAAAGGAAAAGTCCCCTCCCAAGAGGCAGAGCTGCATGCTTTTGGTGCCCCTGAAATTGTTCACTATAGTACAACATAATGTGACACTCACCACAATTAGCCCCAGGGAAACAGTCTTTTTTTCACCTCTGATGTCATATAATAGATAAGGCCATGCTCTGAGATCCTATCAGTGAGCCATGTTATCTACAAACAAAGTATTTTAGGAAGAGTTTGTGAAGAGAGCTGCGATATTCCAAGGCTAATTTGAAGTGCCTGATGGCTAGCGTTCCTCTAAACCTCACCCTGACAAACACTGGGGAGCAGAAAGCAACAGATGCAAATTACTGTCCAGAAATTAGACCATTGGACATTTTCACTGGTAGTTCTTCAATCTAAGTAATCTTTTCGCTCTCATTGTCTCCCCCTTCTCTCTTTGGCGGTCTTCTTCCCTACACGCGCGCGCGCACACACACATGCACACGCACACACAGAGGAAGACATCCATTAATATTAATATTAAGGACAGTCTTCTGTAATGTTTTTCAGAATTTCTCAGGGGCTTAGGAGGGCTGCAGCCATGCCAAAATCACAAGCTTTCCTCTAGTCAGAAGGGATGTCTTTTCAAAGCCCAGCCCTCATTTTTCAGTCTGATGTAAGTAAAGTTACCTCTGTGTGCTGAGCTGAGCAGCTTTTCTTGGTCGTTTTTGTTTTCTAATGACTGCTATTCTGGCAAAGCTATTCATTTCAAAGGAAAGGTAGAAGCATTCTTTACTCTTCCCCTTTTAGATTATTTGCAGTTACTGACTCTTCTGAAATCTTAGATTGGAACAGAAACCTAAAGCATAGCACCATTTTAAAACAGCAAATCACCAGCATGCCTGGGATCACATTTCCCCAGAACAAGTATTCAATATGAGGCCCGAGAATTAAGTCTACATAGGCTAAAATTCACCAATAAAGACGGAGCATTATCTTTTAAAAAAAAAAAATGGGGCCTCCTCTGCTCTGATAGCATGCTGAGGGATTGTAATCTTTTGGAAACCCTGTCTAAACACCAGACAAGAGGTGGTGGAGTTATGCTTGCTTTTTAACTAAATTAACTGATTTCTTGAGAAAGTCAAATCAATTGTACCAAGGTGGTTAACTTTCAGAAACATTGTTTAGGCAACAAATAGATAGGGGATGTTTGGTTTTTTTAGTTGATTTATTCCATGAGAAAGTCACATTAACTGTCCCAGACCACTGACCTGATAAAATCTATGATAAAATCCAGAGGATGAACCATCACAAGAAGCTCCTAATTTGTCCAGGCCTCCATCTACCCAATGGGCCTCAGTGTGCAAGGCGGACCTTGCTGTTGATCCTTCTGATGGCAGTTCTACACTGACTTCGCCAAGACTGTCTCTCTGCATACACCCAGCTCTGCGAATTCTTCATCTGTGTCACATATTTAGATGAGTAATCCAAAGTTCATTACTTTCCTGGTTATCTCACGTCAACTTCTTCACCAGCCAACACTTACCTCTTCTAATCACTGAACACACTTGAATTCATAATGGTTTTGAGGTTTAGGCAATTGTCAATCTCCAAGTCAGAGTAAGAGAGGTAACAGAGGGATATGAGTGCAGTTCGAGTAAACAGGGAGAAAAAGGTACACGGAGCCATGGTGAAGAAACACTGCCAGGCCAGGGAGACTCTCATGACTACCTCCTGAGTCACTCCATTCACCAGCACTGACACAGTGAAGAATAACACAAGCATATACAAGTGAAAACCCTCTTACACACCGAGGGCTGGGGGTGCTTAAGTCCTTAGCATCTTAGTTTTCTCGTTGTGCATATCTAGCTGAAAGGGCTTGAGTGGGATACTATCCTACATTGCCTATCAAGGGCCTGATGCAAAACGAAGCAAGCAGCAGGAGGGAAAAGACTACATTGCTGGGACGGTTTTCAAATAGCGCTACACACAGACAAAGCAGTGAAAACTAACTCCTTCTTCCCCTCCTTTCCCAGCCCCCCTTTTCTGTTTTTTACATTTATGTGAATTCAGTAATCTTAATCTATGCAATCCTATTATGCCTAAAGAAACCAAAGGACTAAAAGTTGCTGATGTTGAAATCCCCATTAGTATACCACAAACTTCCTTGAAACTAGGAAGAAAAAAAAAAAAGAACTTCTCACTCCCAATCAAAAATGAAGCATCTCTCAAATGTACATACAACAGCTCGACCAATTATCAGTTTGCACCTGTAATGTGAGAAAATGCTCAAAAGACACACATGGTTACATACTCCTGGTCCATTTTTTTTTTTTTAATTAAGACAGAAAGTTCTTGGTTTCCCATATTCAATTTTTAAGTATGAGGTGGAAGCCAAGCATAGATTTCCCTTGGATCTGAGGCATTTGAAACGCAATGGAAAAAAGAGTTGGGGAAGAATCCTATACTTAAACACCCCCCACGCCAGCCAGTGGGTGAATTACTTAATGGTTCTCAGCTGTAAAATGGGAACAAGAATATCTCCCTCCAACAGGATACAAATGAACTAAGATACTGTAAACAAAAGACCAAAGTGCTAAGTAATTTACAAATATAAAGTATAATTTAAACCCCTTTAAAAAGCCCTTAATAAGGAAATACATTAACATAATCTACATACAATTACCTTCAGAGCAGTAAGGGCTTGCAATTCAAGGGATGGGTGGGGGATGAATGACCGAGAAAGGCGTGGATTTGTAATACTTACCTCCCTCAGAGAAAGCTGGAAGGTACAGTGTCCAGGGCATTATCTGTAGAGTCAGACTGGCTTTGGATTAATCCTGCCTTTGCCACTTCCTAGCTGTATGACCCTGAGCAGCTTATTTAAATTCTTTGAGCTCTGATTTCCTCATCTTTTTTTTTTTTTTTTTTTAAGATTTTATTTATTTGACAGAAAGAGACACAGCGAGAGCAGGAACACAAGCAGGGGGAGTAGGAGAGGGAGAAGCAGGCTTCCCGCGGAGCAGGGAGCCCGATGTGGGACTCGATCCCAGGACCCTGGGATCATGACCTGAGCCGAAGGCAGATGCTTAACAACTGAGCCACCCAGGCGCCCCTCCTCATCTTTATATGAGGAATAATAGTACCCATCTTGTAAAGGAAGCTGGAATGTTTAAACAAAATGCTACACGTAAAAGCACCTGACTTTTAAAAATAATACTCATGCAAGGGAAAGGAGACCACACCAAATATTTCTTATGGACTCTGTCCTCCACTTCTGTCTTGTTAATATAACCTCAGGCAGTTACCGTCTAAATATCTTCACGTACATATCCTGGATTGAATTCAAATAGTATGCTTTTTTTTAAGTGCATATTTTCTATACCAAGCAGAAACCTGGCAAAGGGAAAATACTTCTGTAAAAAACCTTAGAAAAGAAGAATTTATCAACTTAGGAAATTTCTTCATGGTGCTACAAAGAATTTTTTCTTGTAATGAGTTACTCTTTGCCACCTACCAGTTAGAAAAAAATCGAAACCTCAAAACACATTTTAAAAACAAACAGGATACTTTAACTTTCCAAAGTAAAGACTGTTGTAAAGATATGTTGTATTTGGAGGAGGATTTTTAAGTAACAAGTCTGTACTTGAAAATAAAATAGAAAGTAACTGCCCAATAAACAGCTTTATCTTTTTTTCTACAATTTAGAATTTTAAAAGAAAGTCCTCAAACCGCCCCCCCCAAAGCAACTATAATACATATGGTTTGCTGGTAGAATTTATTTCAAGTGTCTCCAGGCAATCTGAGTGTGTACAAATGTGTGCACAAAGGCACACGCGCGCGCGCACACACACACTCTAAAATACACACTCTAAAATTTTTGAATCAATAAGTCATTTGGAAGAATCTCCAGAAGTGTGCCGAGGCATGTTTTTGGTGTTTTGCCAAATTATGTGCTTCTGTTTGTGGCTTTCAAATATAGATTAGACAGACGCACAAGCACGTACTACTTGGCAAGTAGCGACAATGGTCTAGTCTGAATTTAGTAATTTAAGCTTTTCATTAGTCCTCTTAGGTGAAAGAAAGAATTAACACAACTTGTTGGAGCTCTATCTTTATATCCCTTTGTCATCCATTCCTGTTCGCTTGCCACAGATTGGAAGCCAAAGGAATTTCAGATGTCCTCTGAAGACAGACCTAAAGCAAGGGCCTCAAACGAGGGGTTCAAATGTCAAGTATATTTAAACTGGAACCTGAACTTTTGTTCATTGTTATTCTAAGGCTATAACTCTGCTTTTTCCAAGCTCCCCATTGTATTTGAACACCCAGTGTGCCCTCTTTTTTTTCCGACGAAAAATAAAGATAGAAATTACCTAAAGAGGTAAAAGGTCACTTGAGAGTTCTGTGTGTCTCATGTCTTGAAATTAACAGACCCAGAAGTAGACTTGTACGTGACGAAGTGCTCACAAAGAGGAGTCTGTCGGCTGTGACTTCTTTCTGGGAGAAGCTACGTCCTTGCTGCCCTGCTTCATACCACAGGCACTCCAAACGTCAGAGGTCAGCTTTTCAGGACCATGACCCCTGATGCTAAATTCAGAAACAATTCCAAAGCCAAGTTAATCCCAAATTCTGTCACAGCTATCCTGATGGCCTGTATATCTTTCTAATTAGGACCAACAAAGTAATCATGATCTGTCTCCAGATCACCTTAGAGAGCACCAAGGGGAAGTGAGGTGACTGGTAGTCTTTGACATTTTCTTCTGTTTGCGGGTCAGAATGATCCTGACGTCCAGTAGAAAAGTTCACAGGAACCAAGAGGTAAAAAGGATTAAATGCTGACAGAGTGGTCCATTGTTAATGGAGTCCCCTGTGTGAAACTACAGAAAGACTAGTTTATACAGCTGCTGCTATTTGTCATAACATTGCTAACAAGATACATATGTTCGATCGAAGTCTTATTTTGGATCTCTGACACTGGACAGTCCAATGGTCTGAAACATATGTGGAAATCAACAAACACCACTATAGAGAAGGAGGACCAATGTATCCCCTCTGGTTGTCTCAATGGCCAAGGAAAGAAAACACGTGAGCTTCTGACTGAGCACAACCTAGAACGTGAGCAAAACAGGAAAAACCAAGATGGGCTATCAACTGGGGCAGGACCCTCCTAGCAGCAAAGTATCACGTTTGGACTGTGTAGTACGGAATTTAGACCTTTAACCCCAGCGTGATTCATAAGTGGTGACTTTCTCTAAAAGTAAAAAATAAGGACTGAGCAAAACTATTTCTAGTTAAGGCATGAAGCGAACCATGTCATCTGTCCCTTGCATCTTCCAGTGGTGGAAGTCTGGTCTGCTTAGAAGTGTAGGCACACTGAGGAAAAAAAAATATATTAACCAACCTTAGGAGATTTCCAGTAAAACCTCTTAAGATAAGCTAAAAATCCAAAGTAAGCTCAATACAAAAATATTATCACAACTATGTATTAAGCAAGGTGTTAAGAATAAGTCAGATTTCATTTTCTCAGGAGTTTTTCATTTGAGTGAGGAGGATAGAGAAAAATAATTATAAACATTTCTATATATTCACACATATACACACACACGTGTGTGTGTGTATAGAGAGAGAGAGAGGGAGAGCAATTAACAAAGCTCTTTCACACACATTGTCAAAATCAATCCTGTGGAGTAAGTGCTAACTAGCACCACTTTACATATGGTGAAACTGAAAGCTTTAAGTCTCAGTGACTGATAATGGAACCAAAAATGGAAGCCAGGTCTTCCCATCATGGCCCTCACTTCTTCTATGATAATAGAAGAATATCATGTCTCCTGATTGCCATGATGAAAAGAATGTAGCATGCCTGAAAACCATGAATCCTATTTTCAATGTTAATACATTCTCGAAGTTGTATCACCTTCCGCATTACCTTTCACACAACCATTTTACCTAAGACTCAACTGCTAAGATGGTGAGCTTATTGAAAACCCAAATAAGGGGAAGTTAAGGCTAACAGTGATCAGACTGTCTCCAAAGAGAAAGCAGGTCCACAGGCTTCAAGGACACTTCAAGGAAAGAAAAGTTTTTCAAGCAGCGGGGAATGAAGTAACTCACTTTGGTGAACAAAATATAAACGCAGTTTGATGTAAGTTGCTCATCTACAACTCAATGCACCTAAGAAATTTTCTTAGATGAATATTTATGGGTTACAACATGTACTGCAGTGTGAATTTGCTCCTTCTACACGCTCCTTTCACACTCTTCCTCTCCACTTCATTATCCTATTATGAGCTGGCTGAAGAGCCATCTTGAACCTCAATGAAAGGAACAATTACCATAAAGCTCCCAACAGTAAACAATGGTCTTATAAAAATAATGCAAACTCAAGAGGTCGGAATGGTGTACAGATTCCTTTTGCATACTTCTCATCTAAAACAATCCTTCCTCCCCCACATCTTTTGTGCATCTGACTAAAGCACCAAAATACACTTTCACCATAAGTATCAGGATTGCTTTGCTGGCAGCCGAAGTGTCCATTCCAACCCTATTAACTTGATCTAAGATGGTACTTCAAAACAACACACTTTGGAAATGACAGGTAGAATCCAGTATTTTATTTCCCAGGAAGAGAAATTAATCTGAGTCCTGTATACCTAAATTGAGTACAAAGTCTGCTCAAGAGGTTATTCCGATCCTGGATTAGCTTCACTAAGCCCATTTAAGAGCTGACCTGAAATAATAGTTTAACAAAATTGCCTATGGCCAAATCCTGATCCCATTGCTTATAATTATGTGACCTGGGACAGATTATTTAACCTTTCTGTTCCTCAGTTTCCCCACATGTAAAAAGGAGAAAACACCAGGCCTTGCCTCACAGGGCTGATGTAAAGAATAGCTCAGTATGTATCTGTGGGCATACGCACGCGCAGGCACACATGTCTAACAGACTGCCAATATTCAACCACCTCCTTCAAGTCTTCTCAGATGTCGCTTCCTCGGTCAGACCTACCCTAACTAATTGTAAAAGCCTGGATCTCAGGGGCACCTGGGTGGCTCAGTAGGTTGAGCACTGGACTCTTGGTTTTGGCTCAGGTCATGATCTCAGGGTTGTGAGATGCAGCCCCGCCTCGGGCTCTGCACTGGGCTTAGCAGTTTGCTTGGGATTCTCTCTCTCCCTCTCCCTCCGCTCCTCTCTCTCTCAAATAAATAAATAAAATCTTTAAAAGCCTGGATCTCAAAGATATAGTATCATCAAAGTTACACTCTGAAATTCATGACCTGGAAAGAAGTCTGATATTTCTCAGTAAACATTCTTTTTTTTTTTTTCTCAGTAAACATTCTAATAAAATTGAGTTGCAGCATATACACGGAAAATAAAAAGATCACTCAAATATGGTATAAAGTCCCCGTATTTATTATATTCATGTAAACTCTTTAAGATTTGTTTGCAAATATTATTTATTTATTCCTTTACACTCTACACCTGACCTGTTTTCTCTATCCAATATCAAAATACAAGCATACAAAAACCCAAAATTATAATTGTCAGGTCAAATACCGAAAATATAAACCAATTACTAAAGGACAAGCAAGTATGTTATTGTCCCATAAGCATACTGACATGCATTTAAATCAAAACAGACAAGAAATTTTAAGGGTGCCCGAGAGTTATTATGTTTGAATAGAATTGTCTGCTATCCTAATCCTGATGTTCATTTCATGTCATATAAGACCCATATGAACTGAACATACACAGGCGAAAGAACGATTGTCTACATAATTCAGTCCTACCTAGTTCCAGGGTTCAATATCAAATATTCTTTATGTGTATGGTAGTTCTCTTCCCAGTGCCTCTTCCAAACAATGGGCTCAAATCAATACTATTTCAAAAGTAAAGACTCTCTTCTCTATGTTATATGACTGAGATCATTAAAAATGTAAGAAAGCTTTCTTATTTTTCTGGAGATTTATTAAACTCAACATTTCCTATGCAAAACAAATTACGGTCATCCACAAATTGCACTGTTTCTCTTTGCCACAACATATAAAGTGAGCCCAAGTGAGAGATGATGTATATTTTTCTAGAGAAATCATTTTCACCCTCTCAATCACGAGAATGGCAACAAAAACAAAACAACAACAATAACAACAACAAAAAGTCTGTACTGCGGTTGCTAACTTGCACCATGCCAATGAACATCCAAAAGATTAATCAAAGGCTTGACAGTTGCTAACAGTTCAACATGGTTCCCATAATTATCCAATTAAACATATAATGCAAATAGTAGAAGTCTTATGGGTTCCATAGAGCATGAATTATCAGGCCGCTTCAGAAAACTATTAAGTGTAATGTACTCTCTGCTGAGTCAGAAGAAAAGTGAAAGGAGAACCAGTACATTTATAGAGGAAGGCAAGCAGAAGAAAAATCGAGTGGAGAGACACGTAACTCAACCACTCTTTATGTGGTCATATAAACACAACAGACAGTGGTAAAATCCAGAAAACAAAATTAAAGTAACAATTATTGTAAAACCAAAAGAATGCAAAGCAATGACTTTACCCTATAATTCCTACTGGCTGCACCATACCCACGGCATACTTCAACCACACTTGTCTAGCTCACTGCGAAGTTAGAAACATGGATGTAATTATAGTTGTTGGCTTTTGACTCTGTCTATAAACCATGCAGAGATAAACTGCTATTAGTGAACATACCAACTCCATATAATTGTGTTTTGACATTATAGGTAAAAACAGTGAGAAGGGAAACTAACCACAGCAATTATAAACAGCATGCTCAAGGGCACATCAGGTCACTTATGACCTTGACTAAACTGTTGTAATCCCTAAGCTGCGTTTCACACATTCAGATGTACACGCATGCATGCAAACACTCCACACCTGTCTTTTTAGGGAAATGAATGTAATAAACATAAAAAATACCAAGAGACATATTCCTAAATACTCAAGGGGATATAAAATACATACTGTAGGGGTCAGATATCTGTGCTTTAAAAAAAAAAAATCTTCTTATATTTTAAAAAGCCAAACGTAAATTTTAGAAGAAACATTTTGTAGTAAGTGTCCATTCTAAAAATATTCTACTTTGCAGCTGGATCTACTCAGGGGAAAAGAAGAATTGAGGAGATTGGATTCAGTATTAAAACTTCTGCTACTGTACATGTTGGGTTTAGGTTACATTATTTGAGGGTAATTCTTAAATGCTTAAATCATCTACTTACATTGATAACATTTCTGCAATAATTATGCAACTATTTACCTCATTTCACTGGCTGCAGGCAGAACCATTACATCCATTCTTTTTCTTTTTATAATTGTCAGTCTTCTCCTTCCCCACCCAAGTGACTCCAAAGGGCATCAGGAGGCCAATAAATCTTCAACAAATATTATTTAAGTATGCTACTCTGGAATAAAATGCAGTACTGTGTTCAATGACTTCTGTCTAAAGTACAAAATTATTTGTACCATCAGCAACAATATAAATGTGAAAATCACAACAATGTTATACTAGACGTGGTGGCCCACTTTGGAGAGGTCCAACCTATAAGTGATGTGGTTTCTTACGAGATTATTCATAGAAACATGATCTTCAGAACGTGTTCACGCTGTTAAAATAATCTCATTTATTTGCGTATTTCTTAAAAGTGTGCACAGTTTTGTTCCTGTGCTTTTCTTATTTGGTCTTCTTGATAATCTGATCAAGTAGGCAAGAGTATTTGCTCTTTTAATAGATCGGACAACAGGTTCCCGAAGGTGGGCTGACTTGCCCAAAACCACGGGACTAACAGAGCCAGGCAGCCAGGGGAGGTCCTTGTGCAGAGCTCCAGAACCTGAATACTCAGGTTCAATCCACTGCTCCTGCTCTTACCCACTGCTGTGTAAACCCAGGACATGAATGAATCTCTCTCTGCCTGAGAGAGGCATATTTTGATTTCCAGCACGAAGACGACGATGATGAGGATAGCGAAGGCTTCCGAGTCAGGTACTTGTGAGGATTAAATGACGTGCTGTACAAGGCACTTACTGCAGGGCCTGGCATACAGTAAGTGCTTAATAAACGCGAGGAGCTGGCTAAGACAATTCTGACATGGTTAAAAGATTAAGTAAACAACCACATAAATATCAAATCCAGAGATTAAAGTTTGGCACTTGTTCTCAAAGAAACCTAACTGACATAACTAAGCATCACTGTAATTCTTGACTAGGGGGTCTTGGAGAACGAGCCACGATGGCTCTTCTTAAAGATTTTCTAACAAAATGCTCATTAATTTACGTCATCTCACCACTCACTGGGCACAGGTTTAAGGCATTTAGATTAAACTGAGAAAAAAACTCTACAAATTGAAACTGTGGTAAGATGGCAACAGTGCCCTAGTGTCTGTCCCCACTTTAT